TGAGACATTTAATACAGTACAAAAGACTGGAAATAGATCAACAATATATCTTTATTTATACATAAAGAAAATGTATAAGCCAAAAAATTTAAGCTGATATGTAGATACTTAGACTGTTGTGGAAAGTAATTTGATGCACTGGACTCATCAAACCAGGGGCAGCCTGTGGGGAGGCAAACATGGAGCTGATGGGATCCACTCTGACAGCCACATATGCTCGGCCAAAAACCAGCCACTTCCTCCCTGCCATCTCCACCATGGCATCCAGCTATCGCAATGCCCAGGCTGCCTTGGCCATGAATCCCAGTGCCAACCTGTGGAGGACCAACGGCTATTACAAGAGCAGCAGCACTGTACCGACCCCCTCCTCCATGCAGCGAGAAAATTTAGATCTGGTTCGAGCCAAGACCATGTTCTACCCCTCTAACAGGGCAGCGCTGAGCACCCGCTACACTCCAGACGACTGGTACAAGTCCAACCAAAGCAACTACAGGGAGTCCGAGTCATCTCGGAAAAGTGCAGAGAGACTGAGAAGAGATACGATCAGGCTGATTCAGGATAGGGAGCAGCTGACCAGACGAACCCAGGAAAGTACCAGCAAGAACATTGGCGAGCGTCTCAATGACATTGTCTTCTGGAAGTCTGAGCTTAGCCATGAGATTGACAACATGGTGACAGAGATAGCAGCCCTCAATGAGGTCAAGAGGAGGCTGGAGAGAGCCTTGGCAGAGACTGAAGGGCCCCTTCAGGTGAGAGTGGAAGGAATATGCTAGACTGTGTGTGTTACTTGTGTGAATTTTTCCTCTCTGGTAAGTAAGTAATATCTGAATTGAGCTGTGTTATTGGAACATTTTGCAGGGAATATTTACATTTCTGCAAGGACAAACAGACAGGCAGGCCTCTGCTCAGTGCCCTCATATTATCATTCAAGCATGTCGTGTCTCAGGGTGCATCACTGTATCTGTGGTGAAACAGTTTTGACTAGGGTTCCCAGTTTGGTTGTAGCAACAGTATCTGTCAGTTAATTAGGTCAACTCAGTGCCCTGTTTAAATGCCACTGGTCGTTTGTGTCACCCACAGTGAGTCACCTTGATCTAACTGGAGATCTGATGACACAGACACCTTGTTAGGCTAAGATCATGTGACAGGTTTTTCTTCTCCAGGTAACAGAAACAGGAGACTGCAGCTATGCACTCTGTGTGACAATTATATACCATACCTGCTGAAATGTGTTTCCCCTATTTGAATGTCACACTGAAGAAAATGCTCTCTCTATGTAACAATCTAAACTTGTTTAGTCACGATCACTTTGTCAATAGGTGTCTCAAGAGTGTTTGTACCACAGAGAGAAGCGGATGTCCATCGATCTGGTTCATGATGATGTAGAGAAAGACCTCATAAAGGTAACACTGCAACAGCACTGTCAGTATGCGTGACCTCTCATATGAGAAAGAAATAAGCATGTTTTCATGTGTTGCAACAAGGAAGTAGAAGTCATCAAATCATGTCAGGAAAGGATGAGGCGACATCTGGACAGAGCCGTTGCTCAGCTGGCGTGAGTCTGGAACATTGTGTTTAATGATATTTCCAAAACTGTGATGTTTGCTAAATTGATTTGATATATTGTTTTGTTTCTGTATTGCTTTGCGGGATTCCTTAGTTCAAACCGAGCTGCCCAGCATGAATTGGAAAGAGACATAAGTGACAAAGTGACTGCTCAGAGGATAGATGACAGGTGTCACCACCTGAGGAACACATCAGACGGTATCGGCTTCTACAGAGGGATTGACAGACTGGACCCCTCGTGAGTATAATTTTATGTGATCAAATATTAACTGTTCTGTTTCATCACATCAAACAGCTTCTAACAACCCCTTAATGTTTGTTTAAACCACCTTACTGGACTGGGCTGTTCAGTTAAATTGTCAAAAGACAGAAAAGTCTTTGGAAGTGGCTATCTGTTGTCGTATATTGATATCAAACTAGGTTTAAACATACTGTAGTGAGTCTAAAGCTATGCTCGTGCTCTGTGAAGCTGTACAGGCACAGTGGTGCTTTGAGCTGAATGACAACATTTAGTTTGCAGTTAGTTTGTGAGTTAGCATGCTAACATTGGCTAATTAGCTCTAAACACAAAGTACAGCTGAGGCTGATGGGGATGTCATTAGTATTGCAGGTCAAAAACTAAAGTGTTGGACGAATAAAATGTTTGACATATTGATGGAACTGGATTAAAATAAAT